GCCATAATTCCAAAGGTGAGCGTCTTTTGCAAGTGATCGCAAAGGGGTACTGGTAGCTGCTCATGGTCCGGAGGGAGGGGTTTCCAAAATAGGGCCGATGATAGGTAACACTAGGACTAAACGCAAGAGATGGGAGAACAGCCAAGGGGAGTAACTCTGCTCACATCCTCCCCCAGGGTCGTTTTCCCTCCCTAAACTTAGTTCTCAGTGCTGAGCTTAGGCTCACTCGCTCGGATGCCCCCTTACGACATGAGCGCCCCGAGCATGGGTTGAACTCACCATTAGATGGGTAACTCGCGCTTCCAAGTGTTACCCGCCAGCCGTTTTTAATCGCATGTTTTGAGCGTCCCCCCCCCTTAGGACATGAGCGCCGAATATTCTAACTTTATAATATCTTCCGGACGAGTGCGGTTAACATAGCTTCCTGAATGTGCGGATGTTTAAATGGATTTATTCCAGAAGTAGTCACTGTGAATCACAATGGAATATGAAGATCGCAGCGAAAAAGGTAAGCTTTCGGGGGTTTCAGCCGGAGCTGGGTCACCCATTTCCTTCTCACACTTGAACAGGGATGGTCATTCTCGGAAAAGAAAGTGGGGGAGGGTATAGAGTTATGTATAGTCATATTTGTAATATTTCCTGTTTTTTTTCATTTTTTCAATATTTCCTGCTTCTTATCCTCATCCGTTTCTTTCGGTCTGTTACTTTCTGGGGGTAGATGATACGTTTCAGACTCTAGGGAGAACGATAGGGTTTGGCAGCAGTATTTTGGTGGCCCTAGATGGGGAAGGGGTTGGGCATTCTTGTATTTAGGGAAACATCGTTATGCGGATTTGCTCACTTACCCCTCCCTTAGTCCCCCTAAAAAAGGTTGTAGGGGAACCAGGGGAAGGGGCAAGTGACAAATGTCATTTTCCCCAAAGTTCACGCTCTCCTCCTGGGCTGAGTCCGCATACCGATGCCCGCTGAGTGTTTTTGTGCTGGAGGTTGTATGGATAATTCCACCCAACCGGGCTGCTGGGTTATCCCGAAATAAAATTTGGAAAATGTTGTGTTGGGCCTGGTCCATAGCCAGTTGCGCCATCAGAACGGTCTCCTGGCACCTACGATAGCCGCCCATTTAGCCTCGAGATACCACAGGTACCCCAGGTATCCCAAGAGGTGGTAGCAGTTTCTTATTATGTTACAATGCACAATTCAGTCAAAAAGGCTACACCCCATGAATTGGACAAGAAACAGATGGAGCTCGCCAGGGCGAAGATGAAGAAGCACACTGACGCCAGGTGAGGGCTTTATACAGAAGAAATCAATTAACTGGAGAACATAGCCGTGTGCAGTTTAATGTGCGCTCATGGCGTTAGAGGGGGTACTCAAAGAACATCTAAACCGCTGATAGGTGACACTAGGACGAAGCCAAGGGGAGAAGAGAAACACCACAGAGAACAAGGGTTGCAGGCGTTCTCCCCAAAATCCCTTCTGCTCCCTAACAATAAGGCTTAGTGGAGCCGTAGAAGGATGTGGGCATGTTTGAGTGGAGGAAAAAGTTTAGGGTTACGTTCAGTCTAAGTTTAATGAACCTGAAGGGAGTTTATAGCTCACGCTTCGCTAGAATCGGCTATTTCCCTTAGAAGAATGCAAATGTACAATCTGGAGAATCTGCAGCTCGGACATTCGGCGGCTTTCCTGATTAATGCTCAATCATCCTTTTTTGCCGAATAGTCGAATCTCTAGAAAGGGCACAATCGAAGGATAGGATGTGGGGGCATTGTGGTAGCAATGCATTTGAAACGGTGTGAAACATCCCCTTCCTTATGGAGTCTAAGCCTCAGGGAGGGGTGAAGAGATTTCAGGGTGTGTGACCAATTTTCATTTTCCCCAAAGTCTCTTCCCTTTCCTGAACTCAGTATTCGAGGATGCCTTAGTACCTTGCGATAGCGCTCTAGAAAGTGAGATGAACAATACCTATCGGAAGGAGGGCTCACTTTCACATTTTAGAGAGGTCGCAAGACAAGAAGAGAAGAACTGGGTGGAATTTCGCAAGCTCCAGGTTTCTGCTATTTTCCAGTGTAATTTTATCAGGGAGAGATGAAGCTCCTTCATTTATGCGCTGAATCGTGAAATTTGAAGAATATTGCTTTCTTAGGTGCTGTACGATTGTCGTCCAAAGTCCCGAGCTGCTTCACGAAGGGAAGATGACGTGAGGAACAAAATCAGAGTATTGCAGAAAAGGGGAAAGACTATGAAAGTGGAGAATACTGAAATATAGGAATTCGAAAGAGACTCACAAAGATAGGATTGATTACAAATGGAGCAGAATGGGATGGAATGGTCTCAAGGGTGAACTCGAGATCGCAATAATGAGTGAAGGGAATCTAGGCGCTATCGCAAGATACAGGGGCATCGCAGTGGCAATGCGTTTAATACGTGTAAAGCATCCCATTTTTGTTAAAGCCTGGACTATGACTTAGGCGGAAAAGGACTTCAGCTTGCTTGAGCAATTTTTCATTTTTCCCGGAGCCCCCTCCTTTTTTTCTGCCACCTCCTAGGCTTAATCCTAGAAGATGTCCTCGTATGTTGCGATAGCGCCGGATTCTGCAAGGAAAGTGATAAGGAACTTGAAGCAGGGGAAAGATGCGTGGTGAAAGTATCGTAGAAACTTAGATTAGTGGAGTGTTGTAGTTGAAAACATAATAAAGAAAGAGATTGAGAGAAAGGGAAATGGAGGAAAAGGAAGGGATAGGGATTATGGGAATTGTTGCTAAGGTGAGTGAGAAGCGTGCTAAATAAATAGATAGAAAATAATCCAAAATCAAAGCGGGAAGGGTTAAACTTACCTATTTTGACAGTCATTTCCTCGACGTCGTCGTGGTGTCTCGATGGGATTCGGCGAGCGCAAAGCGTATTTTCTCGCGATCCGACCGAATCCTAAATATGCAACGTGGTTTGGTAAGCGAAAGAACTGGCAGGTGAAAGAAAAGAACAATAAGAAACGCTCGAAAGAACAGTAAGTGATAATCTTCAATTGGATGAATGATAAACCAATGAATGACTCGGGATGATGAGCAAGCTCTGGGATGCGCCACGCATTCACTTCGGATCAGAATCGCAGTGGAAAATCGCAGTTTCCGGAAATGCGCTTACCATTTGCGCTTTTCATACGACCCGATTAGCTCACCTGATGCGGTGACAGTTAGTTGGCATTGACAGCGCACGATAAAGGATTCGATACTTTCACCATACAAGTGGTAACCAGCGCCACTAAGCACTACACCACCTACTTCCCCATGGGGTGATAGAAATGAAAGGTATCCTTCCCAAGAAATCAACCAAGTTGACTAAAATCCGCTTATGAGGCTTCCACTAGGCAGATCTAACATCAAGGAGTATTATAATACTCGCGTCTCTCGCTGTTTCCCACGAGAGCGAAAAACCCTTCTTTTCAAGGTTATTTAATGCCAGGCTCGCTGGGATAATGAAAACACGGACAGGCCCATTGTTGGTCAGCTTTTGGAAATCAGTGTCCGAACCAAGTCACTTTTGACTGTCACTTCGATTCTGATAGAAGTGACGGCACGGCGCTGCTTTGGGAACGAACTCACGTGTCAACTATGGAACATTTTGTCTTTTATTCTTTCTTTTCCTAATTTTCTGGAAATACTTCTTATTAAGGCAAACAGAAGTGTTCTGTGTACCAGTGGGCGTGAATGAGCGGACCCTGGCAGAAACGGTTCTAGAAGCCGAAGACGGTAAGTGGAGAAAGCTCCAAACAAAAACGCATCAGCGACGGCTCGGTCTTCTTTGGATGCCTTTTTTGCTTACAAATCACGTGCATGACAACCTTACAGGAGTGTGCATGATGTCGATAGAGAGTTCCAAAATAAATCATAAGCTGCAGTGGCTGTTTCCAAAACAGGGGCTTGCACATTGCCAATGAAAATGGATGCCAGCAAGGAAATATCTCTAATTAGGTTACCTAAGGCCTAAGACATGGATGATCACAGAAAAGCGTGTCAGTCTGCATCCAATTCACGAGAACATACAACAGTGCTTTCCGCCTTGCACGCTGGTACACGCCTCTAGCAGGGTCAACCCTATGTTGCTACAAGTAGCAACGGGGGGGTCGTATTTTGATGAGTTTGTAGAGGGGGGTCGTACTTGCTTCGGTTGTAAGAAGTTGCATGTGATGAGTGGGGAGCGGCGCGGGAGAAAATTTGCCGTTTCAGCGCGCGTATATACCTTTCCCTTCAGAAAAGCCAGAAAGTGTGTGGTGCAAACAAAACAAAACACCACAAGTGACGACCAGCATCCAGAAAATGCAAATATTTTTTGTCAACGAAATTGATTAACCTGTTACAGTTGTATTCGATCAGTTGACACTAATTACAACTATCATTTACTAAAAATCAGCTATCACTATGAACCACTACTAACCAGATTTACTTGGAGGCCGTCGTCAGTTGTGGTGTTTGGTCTGCACCCGACACTTTCTGGCTTTTTGAAGGGAGGGTACTTCTTCCCCGTGACGGTAATTTTTTGGGTAAAATGGTATTCGAAAGAGGGGGGTCGTTAGAAACTATTTAAAGTAGCACGATAGGACCAGTCGTGCCGACCATTCAACCCCATATGTGACACGTGGATAATCAGTGAATACATCTCATTTAAATAATTTTATCAATTGTTTCCCATTCAGAGGAGAACGCAGCTGAGAAGAAAGGCAATCATGCTCTCAAACCCTCTGAAACAGGGAATTCCGTTTTGGATAATTCCAGAGTGAGTTTTACTGGCTCAGCCCTTAGCATTTGCAACTAGAAACCCCTGACAAAGCAAAATCATCAGATATCGTATAATTGCCGCATAATGTATGCTATCACGAGAGGTTATACAGTCGGAAAACGTCGATTGATACAGAATACTCCGTGAAGTCTGCTAGCGGTTAAGATTACATTAAAAAAGTAATTATGAGACTCTATTCACACGGCAAACCAATCCTTAGATCACAGTCTCGCTCGGTCTGCTGTTCTCAGTACCAAGAACAAGACAAGAATCAGGTCTCAGTGGTAAACCACTGCCAAGGAAGGCGGTGGGCGGTGAGGTTGCCTGGGCGCCTGAAGCATCCCAACCATCCCCATTCTACTTACCAGGAAAGGCATTCAGCTTCCCATGGAAATTTGAATCAAGACCCATATATGTCGATAGGGCTTCGAACATTGACTACGAATATGAAACTAAAACTGCAAAATGCTTCTACCAATAAGTTGTGAGCAGTCAAAGTTGGCTGGAAATGAAGCGTTTCATATGATCCGTGGTACCAAGGGCATTCAAAGTCACCATGAAGTAATGGCCAGTGCTCTCGAAAGTTGTACTCCAGCGGAAGAGAACGTATGACCTCCTGACAGGAGAGCGAGAGCACTACCACTACTCCACGGCAGGGTCCAAACTACGTGCTACGGTAACCAACGGGTTCCGCGTCTTCGGTTGAGTTTATAGGAGGGGGGGGTCGTATCCGCTTCAGTCGCGTGAAAGTACATGTGAGTTTGTGGTGAGAGTGGAGTTTTCACGAGTAGTAGGCAGGGAGAAGCGCGGAGAAAAAATTCGCCGTTTCAGCGCGCGTATATATTCACTTCCCCTTAGAAAATGAAGCAGTGGAATTATTGGGTGAAAGGTGGGTAAGAAGTGGGGTAAATGGTTGAAATTTAGGGAATTTTGGTAAATTTTTACTGTTTTATATACCCCCCCCGCTCGACGGCATTTTTGGAGGAAAAAGTGGGCGGAGTTTGGTGGGTTGAGTGGTACCAGAATTAAATACTATAGAGAGGATGATGGTGGTCGGTGTCGAAAAGGGGGTCGTATCAAGTCCACCTTGGGGGAGGGGGGTCGTAAAAATTTTTGAAAAAGTAACAACGATAGGACTGACCCTGCTCCACGGCGCTCCGTTTGCCCGGAAAGCTAGCATAGCTCATATGTAATGCTTTGCTTTCAGCCAACTCTGACTGCTCACAACTTCCTTGGCAGGTTCATTTTGCAGTTTCAGTTTCCATATTTGTATTTAAGGGTCATATCGATATATCTGGGCTTAATCCGAACTTCCATGGGAAGTTGAATGCCTTCCCTGGTTAGTCTACTTATGGATATCAGAAATGAAATCGATTTCCTGGGGCCGATGGCAGCAACCCAAGTCGGATCGGGTCCCCCAAAATTATGCGACCACTGGACGCTTACCTCATGTGGACCATAAGAGAGTCGCCTATCAACCCGAAGTATGAGACGCGGAGTTTTGGAGCCGCAATCCCCGTTAGATGTACGCTCTAGCTTGAGCTCGCAACTCGTGTTGGCTTTGTGCCTGCCAACCAGCAACAGTGACATTTTATTCTACAGATATTCTTTGAATTCACAACTTGGCTCACCTCTCTTTACAAGGAAACAAATCATTTCTTACATGCACTATTTCTATATTGAATACTTTACAGGGAGGAAGAAGAGCTCAATGAAGAGGACTTGCCCATAGACAGAGAACTGATAGAAAAGGTAATCGATGCTCCTGAGTCAAACAGGTTTTTTATAGACAAGTTGTCTTAATCTGACGTTATCGCCCTCTAGGTCCTACAGCATGTGTGCTAATGCCCAGTCCTCCTATTATTCTGTGCATATATTCTGAAAGTAGGTCCATGTAACAGTCAACAGTGATGTCCAGCGGCATACTACGCGCTGGTACGTATCCGACTCCACCAATCTAATTTTTTGTGACACAAAAAATATTGAAAGTACAGTGGCCGAAGCGTTGGCTAAAGGTTGTGATTACTGTGTCCTCAGAATCCGTTTTTCTTCAGGCTTTCTACCGCCACCCATTCTCACCCTATGAAGGATTCGCCTATGAGACAACGCAGATCAATTTTCTGGAATGAATTACTTTTGATGGTTAAACTTAGAGATGGGTTAGCAAAGATCGCCTCATGTCGCGTTTCTTCGCGGCTCTAAAGTGGTGCAACAGAAGCCACCAAGACCTATGCAAAAATCAGCATGGACGCTTTTATATTGTTTCTCCGATCGCAGCACTCTGTTGTTCTGCGTCCCCGCCGTTTGGGCTCTTTGCCTACGCCTACCGTTGACTTCGCCACATAATTTCTATGTGAGGCAGTGTTTGTGGCCCAGTCTGACGCTTCTTTACCTGTCATCCAGTCCGGAGATGATCGTACAGATCTTGATTGATTCCTTCGACTTAAAATTGCACATCGATATGGAGAAGCACACGCAACTATCACATATCTCCTCACACTGATAAGTATCATAAACAGCTGTTAAAAAAAAGAACTTAAAAAGCTCACATACAGTACTTGATGGCACGTTTAACATTGTGTCAAACTCATTGGCAAGAAACAAATTCGACCCGTACTCGGAAGTAACTTCGTATAAAAAATTGGACAAATTTTTCACCAGGTATATCGTTCAAAAACTCACTTAAAATTGCGAAATGATTGACTTTGGAGAAGTGCTCTCTTACTTACCGTTCTCTTTACAGAGAGCTAATCATAGGCGACACTGTGAAGACCGTGATCAATCTGATGGAGGAGCCGAACGAAAATGTGTACGTATACCGTACTGTGGAATATTTATTGATTTCTTGTTTTGAGATAAGCAGGTTTTCAGAATTGATTTAGCCACTTTCTGATACTAAGCCCCTACAAAGATCTCACATGCGAGGGGAATTAGTGACAAATATAGTAGAGAGATTTTGAAAGATTAAGAGGCGGAGGTTGGGCGGGAGGGGATACTAGAAGTGAAGGTGTAGGCGGGCTCTCACTACCCGAGCGTGGAATCAATACTCATCTGTAAAGCAACACCCCCAGCAGAAGTCGTGTCGAAGAATCTATTCGGTGGATGGGATAAATTAGCCCACGAGTTGCACAGATGTGCCGTTGTCGCGGCTCGAAAGTGCGCACCCCATGTACGCAGCGTGGATTACGGCGTGGCTGCTAATTCAAGGGTTAGTTGAGCGGTGGAGCAGGCAACCTCGCACAACTCGTCCGGCCCCGCCCCTTCCAGAGAATCCTTGTTTTGGGCTTCACCGGTGGTTTTCAGCCTTGCATTTTTTCTCATTTTCAGTTAGTTCGGCATTCATAACTTCATTAGCAACCGTTGCACACCACCTACAAATTCGATCTGGGGGTGTTGTTTTAAGCCTGGCATGGTTTGGAACATGTATTGATGCGATTCACTAAGCTTCTGCTTAAGGGGGAGGGGAAGCGATTGATTCGCCAAGATACACCTAAAAGAGGGGGGGGGGAGTAGAGTGAATGGAATTAGATTGGTCGCCTTTTCAAACACATCGAAAAATTCAAGCCCTTTTGGCCCTTTTAACTTCTACAAGGTATCATGGACTGCACCGAGAGAGGTCTCTGCTGAGTATCACCCTACGCTGCACTTCTATTGTGAACTCTATCACTGGACATTGCAATGCAACCCGCTGCTCCGACACGTTCGAGATCGGCCTATTGGTTTGCTACAGTGTCATTTTCACATCTAAGTTTCCAAAATGCGGGGCCTCACATTGCTGTATTCTTATCCCAAGAGGTCCCAAGAGGCCCATCGCGTGGCGAAGGAAGAGCCGCAGACGCGGCTGAGGACGAGTCGCAGCGCATACTGTAGCGGTCATGCATCAGGTTAAACAGATGTACTATGCTACATCTCATATCGCACAGCGTGCAACTCGTCCTTTGTCGCGTCTGCGTCTCGTCCTTTGTCGCGTCTGCGTCCTTTCCTTC